CAAAAAAAAAAGGGAGGAGCAGCGGGTGGTGCTGAGGCTCTGCCTTCCCTCCATGCACCGAGGGCGTGGGGGGGGCCGAGGGAGGGGTCTGCCCTGCCCCATCGCCCCCGCGGTCCTGGGTTGCTGGTAACGCCTGTCCCTGGGGCTGATGGAGCCACCACAAGGTGTCAGCAGACACCGCGGCCTCCCAGCACCGGCCCCCAGCACCCACACCCGCTGCCTGCGGCGCCGGGGGCCTTCTGCCACACCCCACGGGGGACCCTCTCCATGTCCCCATCGCGGGGTCCATCCGGGCGCTACAGCCCCACGTCCATCCAGTGGCTGCCCCATATCCATGGGGTGCCTTGAGGATGCATCGCGTGTCCCCGCCCCGGGATGGGAAAGGCGCCGTGGCCGCGTGTGTGCCGGGATATCCCGGTGGGAAGCGCGCTGCAGCGGATCCCTGTGGCATCCCCAGCGCTGGCATCAGCCCAGCGCAGCAGCCCTGGCGCCTGCTGGGGATTTTCCACTGGGATCGGACTCATCCCCGGGTCCGTGAGCAGGGCACGGGCCGCCCCATGAGCTCCGCTCCCATGGCAGCACCCCGGAGCCGGGATCCCCTTCCAGCCATTCCCCCGCTGCTTCCCACCCCAAAGCAGGAGCATCGCTGGTTCCTGCAGCACCGCGGGTCCAGGACCAAGCGCGGGTGTTCCCATGGGATGCGGTGAGCAGGGCAGGGCTGTGGCTGAGTCACGGTGCAGGAATCCCGCTGGGCGAGGGCAGGGCTGGTGACTCACAGGCTGGTTATGGGCTGAGCGGGGTTAGGCTGCACGCAGTGCTCACACGGGATCCCAGGGAGCCGGGATAGACCCTCTTGGTGGGGATCAACCACCCCCAGCGCCTCGTTCCCTGGATGCAGACTGGCTGCAGTGCATGGAAGCAGTTCAGGATGTGTCCCCCTCGTTCCTTGTGCAGGATGTGGGCATCCGGGCTGGGATCTGAGCAGCCCCAGCCCCACTGTCTGTGCTGGTTGAGGCTGAGCACATTATTCCCACTGTTTGGAGCAAGCGTGGGAGCTGTTGCAGTGCACCAGCATGAGAGCACTGTGTCAGGGGCAGGGTTGCATGGGCATGGGGTGGGTCGTGTGCCCGGGTCATCCCCTCTCTCCCCACCATTGGAAAAGGTTTGTGGGTCAGGGAAGGGCTCTGAACCTGAAACAGGTCCCCCCCATTTGCCAAACCCACCCACTGAGGTTGGTGCCATGGCCAAGGAGCACCACCCGTGACTCCACTGATGCTCTGTGCCAGGAGCAACTGCATGAGTGCGGCATCTGGGTGCTGCTGAAGGACCTGGAGGACAACAACATGATGGACTTCGAGGAGTACGTGGTCCTTCTGGGCTGCCTCATCGTGCTCTGCATTGGCTTTACACTGCCCTGCCAGGCAGCACAGAGCCCCGTGGCTCCAATAAAACTACTGTCACATCCCCAACCCTCTGTGGAACATGTTCATTTACACTGGGGGGGTGCTTGGGATCACCTGTCTTGGAAAGGCACCCCTTGGTGTGGGGGACAATGCAGTGATCATAGAATCATGGAATGGTTTGGGTTGGAAGGGACCTTAAAGCTCATCCAGTTCCAACACCTTCCACTAGAGCAGGTTGCTCCAAGCCCCTGTGTCCAACTTGGCCTTGAACACTGCCAGGGATGGGACAGCCACAGCTTCTCTGTTCAGCTGATTCCAGTGTCCCTCCACCCTCACAGGGAAGAGCTTCTTCCTTACATCCAACCTGAATCTCCCCTTTCACTTTCAACCCATTCCCCCTTGTCCTGTCACTACAAGAGTGATGGTTTAGGGAGGAGATGGGCTGAGAAGCCCCAAGGATGCCCCAGCCCTTCCCATCCCTTGACTTGTGCCTCCATCCCCAGCCTCCCCAGTGGGGCCGGTGGCCTCTCCCAGCAGCACCAAACCCATCCACTGCGTCCTAATGGCATCACACGGCTTGGTAGGCAAAAATGAGGTGTGGGTGAAAGCACCTGGATGGAGCTATTGGGAAAGCCTGGAGGCAAGAGGGCTCCATGGGCTGTGCCACCACGGCTGGGCTATAAATGCCCATCGAGCTCTGGCTGCTCACCCTGACTCCTCGCTGCTGCCTGCTCCCTGCTGACCCTGGTGAGTCTCTTCTCCCCTTCCTCATCCATCACCCACTGGTGGTGCCCCTCTGCAGCATCATGGATTAGGGCAGGGTGGTGGGAATCGGACCCATCCCCACCCCAAGCTTGCCCTCACTCCATCCCTTGTGCTCTGCCCTCCAGGTACGCAGGAGGCTGGCGATGGCGTGTCCCCTGGAGCAGGCACTGGCCGTGATGGTCACCACCTTCCACAAGTACTCGGGTAAGGAAGGGGACAAGTACAAGCTCAGCAAGCAGGAGCTCAAGGAGCTGCTCAACAAGGAGCTGCCTGTCTTTGGGAGCGTAAGAGGCCAAGGGGATACATCCCTTTGCATCCTTCAGAGGTGCCCGGGATTTGGAGGGCGTGGGGGGGCAGGACAAACCCAGCCTCAGGGCTTACCGTAGATCACACTGATCTATACATCCCTGCCTGAGGGATGCAGCCCACATGGAATCCTGGAATGGTTTGGGTGGCAAGAGACCTTAAAGCTTCCACTAGAGCAGGTTGCTCCAAGCCCCTGTGTCCAACCTGGCCTTGAACACTGCCAGGGATGGGGCAGCCACAACTTCTCCATTCAACCCATCCCAGTGTCCCAGCACCCTCCCAGGGAAGAGCTTCTGCCCAAGATCCCATCCCAATCTCCCCTCTGGCAGGTTAAAGCCATTCCCCTTGTCCTGTCCCTCCGTATGACAAAAGGACGGATGAAGCCAGGAGGACCAGAGCTGGAGCATACTCAGACCCAAAGGAAACTTGGCTTTCTTGTGCTCACACAAATATTTTGCTTGGCAAAGAAAAGCCTGCTCCGATTTCAGTGGTTTATATTGGTTTTAACCCTTAATTCCCTTTAAACTGGGAAGAGAGATGTTTTAGCCCAACCTGTTCATGAGCAAGAGGCGCATTTGCTGTACCCGTGCCAGCACGCCCCACATCCACCTTCATTTCTAAAGGCCTTTGCCTTCCAAAGACAAAGAGAACCCCCTCCTTGAAGCCATAGGGAGGGAAGCCCAGGCTTTTTCACCCTTCCCTGTGAGCAGTGGGGCTGGATGGGGAACACCTCACTCATCCATGCACCCCAAAACCACTTCCCTCCCTCCACAGAAGCAAATGGATGATGCTGAGTTCAAGCGGCTCATGAACGACCTGGACCACGACAAGGACAGCGAGGTGGACTTCAAGGAGTACGTCTGCTTCCTGGCCTGCATCACCATGGGCTTCAACGAGTTCTTCAGGGACTCCCCCACCAAGCAGCTCCGCAAGAAGTGATCCCGTTGGGGCTTCCAATAAAAGCTTTCCCAAAGCCTGACTTTGCGCTTGGAGTGACTCACATCTTCCTTCTTCTCCCTGGGATTTTCCATGGTGCGACTCAGCCCCAGGAAGCATCTTTTGGCAAAGCCTGAGCAAAATAACTGGCTCCGGGCAACGGATTGGGTTAATCCCCCCGCCCCAGCCATCCCTGCTGGCTTGGGGAGAGGTTTAATGCATGTTGGGCTCAAAACTGAGCTTGGCTTGGCTTAGAGCTCCCATTGGGCTTGGGGAGGGAAAGGTAGGCTGGAGGAACCGTAGCAAGATGCAAGGTCCATGCAAAAGCACAGAAGCCAGAGGGTGTCCCCAGCTTCCTGCAGGGAAGAGCTGCAGGAGACCTTTGGGATGTGGGTAAGCCCATGGGGATCATCCTGAGCCCACCCTGTTTATCATAGCATCAGGCTATGATGGTGCCTGGGGAGCTTAGGGCTTGTCCCCCTTCCACCTCCCCAGCGCCACAGAAGAAAGTGCTGCAGCCACTCTCCAGCCTTCCCCAGACCCCCAGAGAAGCCAGCCTAGATCCAAAAGCCTTTACCAAACCTCTCCATCATTGCATGGCAGAGCAGACCCTGAGCCCCAAATCCACCCTGAGCCCCAGACTTCACTTTGCCCTTTCCCAGAGCCTTTACAAAGAGCCCCCAGGGAGTTTCTGCCCCCTCCCAGTCATTTACACCACTTTGCACTGACTAAGAGAGGGATGAGGTTCAGGTTTGTGCCTTTCTCTTGCCAAAATGGTCCTTAAAGAACCCCCTGACCTGGGGAAGCTTCATCCCCTGGTTTTCCTCACTCTTCTCAAGCCTTGTTTTTGGCTTCACACCCTTGTTTCCAAGCTCCAAAAGCTCAGGGTTAGTTCACAAAGTTGCATTTCAGATCCCAGTGCTTCATTTCTAGGCTTCAGCTAAAGATTTTTAAGCTTCAAGCAGCCTCTTGGGTGCCCAAACCCTGTTTTGGAGGCTCCAAACCCCTCTCGAAGGGCTCAGAGCCCCCTCTGGTCCTTTGTTCTTTATCCCAGGGGGGCTCAGGGACACTCGGGGTGTTTTATCAGGGGGTTCCAAGCTTCCAGGTCCCGTTTTTCCCCTGCTGCGTGCCCAGGACATGCAGTCACCAGCATCGTTCCCCGTTACACAACGGGCTGTTGTGACTCATGGCCCTTGCACTTAGGAAACAGAAACCACTTGCAGCTGAGTTAAAAACAGAACAACAACCCTCCCCCCCACCCCCATTCCCAACCCACACTCCAGTACAACAACAAACCCATGGATAAACCCTGCTCGGGCTCCAAACATCCCTGGGGATGCTGCCAAAACTATAGTATGCGGCATCCTGCCCTGCACCGCATCCCCTGCGGTAGAGGTGGCGGGAGGTGCCCACCGCTCCTTCATCCCTTATCCTTAGGGATTCTCCTCCACCCCTTATCCTTAGGGATTCTCCTCCACCCCATCCAGCCCCATTTTGCTCTTTCCAGCCCACTCAGCAGCGCAGAAATGGGATGCTTTGCAGGGGCCAGGGCTGCTCCCAGAGCTTTTCCTCTCCTCCGTTGCCAGCCAATGTCCAGGCTGGATCAGCATTGGTGCCTTCCCAGCCGGATAGCGAGGGAGGTGGCCCAGGCAGGGCTATAAATGCCAGCTCACTCCCTCCCTGCCCATCCTTGACTGTTCCGTTTAAGCTGCTGGTGAGTTGGTTTTTACCTCTTTTCCCCCTTTATCCTGCTCTCCAGATGTTGCTAAAGGCACATCTGCCCCATCCCACGGTGGGGTCCCCCTATAGAGGTTTTTCCCCTGAGGCTCCTGCTGCAAGGAGCTGAGTTTGGAGGCTGGGAAAGAAAAGCTGCTGCTTCCCCCCCCATGTTCTCCCCTCTAACGGCTTTTTTAGGGGTACCCAACCTGGGAGGGTGAAACTAAGGAGGAAATGGTGATGCAGGAGTGGGGCATTGAACAGCCTGCACTGATTGTGGGGCAGGGGGAGCTGCCAGCCCCCTGCCATGGGGGTGTCTGGGGATGCTGACCTCTGCTCTCACCCACTTGTGCTGTTGGTGCCTCCAGGTTTGCTGGTATTCCCCATGGCATCTCCCCTGGAGCAGGCGCTGGCCGTGATGGTCTCCACCTTCCACAAGTACTCAGGCAATGAGGGGGACAAGTACAAGCTCAACAAGCAGGAGCTCAAAGAGATGCTCAACAAGGAGCTGCCCAGCTTCAGTGTAAGTGTGGGGCAGGGGGTACCACATCCCATGGTGGATGAGGGAATGTGGTCCATGATGCAAACCCCCATTTTAATCCCTTGTTTGCAGAGACAAACCAGTGAGGCCAGTTTGCAGCAGCTCATGAACCATCTGGACAGCAACAGCGACAGCGAGGTGGACTTCCAGGAGTACGTGACCTTCCTGGCCTGCATGGCCATGATGTGCAATGACTTCTTCCAGGACTGCCCTGACAAGATGCCACGGAGGAAGTGAGCATGGACCCTCCTGTCGTCTTCCTGATGCTCTTGTAATAAAGGTTGCTTTAAACCCGATGCTCTTGCCTGCTTTGCAGTGGGGGGTTCTTGCGCCAGGGACACTGGAGAAAACCCCGTTTCCTTTCCATGTGCGTGATCCAGGTTCTGGATGAGAACAAGGAGTTTGGGCACCGCGTTCCCTGAGCCCTTGTAAAACACCCGTTAGGGTGAGTCAGCGGCAGGCTCTGCCCTGCAGCCCTGCTGACTCCTTCGTGGCCAGGCAAGGCAGGAGCTTCCACAGGGATTAATGCCTCCGTGATAGCAGCGACGGGTGAAGAGCTCCTTGTTTTAACCATGATCACATGGAATCAGCGGCTGTCCCCGTGGGGCAGGACGGTGGGAAGTCACCCCAGATGTTTGCCCCTTCCCTACCCCGTGTGAATCCTCGTGGAGTGGGGTTTCACTGCGTTCCTGCTCGGGGTGGGGTTGTGGCGTGCAGAGCAGTGACTTCCTTGTGCACCCAACCAGCCCTCCGGCTACAGCTCAGCCACAGCCACAGCCCTCGCTTCCTGCTCATGTCCCTGTGACTCCATTTCCTCCCTCTGATCCCCTTTTCCCTGCACTGGACAGCTGTGGGCAACCTGGGTTTGTGCGCTGGGGTCCAGATGTGCAGCAGGGCCCTTGCAGATGTGGCGCTGGATGTTCATCAGTGGCTCAGGACTTCATCAGTGGGATCTTCTGCTCCCAGAGGCACTGGAGATGTCACAAAAGCTTCACTTCGTTGCCCCGCTCACACCAACCCTGGGGCTGCACGTGGAAGCAGCCAGGAGCCACGTCTGGGCTGCGCCGCCACGTCTGGGCTGCGCCCCATGAGTCAACCTGCAGGCCCCAGCCCCAGCTTGCTCCAGCATCCCAGTGCAACACGATGGGGGGATGTGGGGCAACCCCCTGCCTGCCTGGACCCAGACCCTGGGGGCTGCATTGAGCTGGGGCTGGAGGGGCAAGGTAAAGGATTGCAGAACATCCCCCTGGCTGGAGAGGGAGCGATGCCCCCCACATCCCTGTGGCTTGGAACGGACCTGGACCATAACAAAGAAAAGGAGGTGAATTTCTAGGAGCACGTCAGTATCCTGGGTGCCCTGGACACGATCTACAGTGATGCACTGAAGGAATGGCAGAGGGTTGGAACTAGATGATCTTAAGGTCCTTTCCAACCCTAGCTATTGTATGATTCTAATGCAGATATAGAGCTGGACCAGCAGTGAGTTGAGGCACCCTGGGGGCCTTTTGGGGTCTTTTTGTAAGGACCTGTGTAAAGTTTTTGTCATTTCCTATTATAAAGCTTTGTTGCTGTGTTCCTGGTCATTTGTGAACCTTAAATTGATTAAAACCTCATGGCTTGCACTGTTCTTTCTCTGGCTGGGGGGGTGGCTCATGTCCCCACAGATGGCTCCTGTTGGGTGCTGCTGATGCTCTGCCCAGGACTCCCACCCAGGCCTTGCACCCTCCGCTTTACAAGGGCTGGTTTGCCAGGAGGCTGGGGTTGAAGCTCATCCCACTGCTCCCCCAGATGGAGAGTGAAGGGGTTGTTCTATGAACCTCAGCTTCTGAGATCCGGCACTTACCCAAGCATCAATATTAGGGACTAAACCATCCATCCCCCCGTGCAGCTCACTGGAACACCTGAGGATGCGGCTGCGCTGGTGAAAGGGACACCCCTGCAAGCCCTTGCCTCTCTTCTGCCCGAGCTGGGAATAGCTGAAGCTGGCATGATGCTGTTCCCAGGCATCCCATCCTGCCTGCATCCATCCGCACCCTGTCACTGCCCCGCTGCTCTGCCCTTGGGGCTCTGCTGGCTCCATCCCCGTGGCACCACCATCCCAGCCCCACAGGCACTGAGCCATGGAGCAGATACCAACACCCCACAGCAGCTCTTGCACTGGAGCGTGGGCCCCAGGGCAGGGCATGTGCTGGGAGGAACCTGTGTGTGGGTAGAGCAACAGGATCATACAATGGTTTGGGTTGGAAGGGAGATAAAAGCTCCTCCAGCTCCACAGGCAGGGCCACCTTCCACTAGAGCAGGTTGCTCCAAGCCCCTGTGTCCCACCTGGCCTTGAACACTGCCAGGGATGGGGCAGCCACAGCTTCTCTGGGCACCCTGTGCCAGCGCCTCAGCACCCTCACAGGGAAGAGCTTCTGCCTCAGAGCTCATCTCAGTCTCCCCTCTGGCAGGTTAAAGCCATTCCCCTTGTCCTGTCCCTCCATCCCTTGTCCAAAGCCCCTCTCCAGGTTTCTTGTAGCCCCTTTAAGCACTGGAGCTGCTCTAAGGTCTCCCCTAAGTGGCTTCCATGACAGGTTGGGCAGCAAATGGCAGCATGAGGACCCAGAGCACACACTTGTCCCTTCTTCCCCACCCCACAGTGCACACATAGAATGGTTTGGGTTGGAAAAGACCTTAAGATGATCTCCATGGACATGTTCCCTCCCACCTCCCCACGTGACACAAGCACATCCCTCCACACCTCCCCACACATGTCCTGTCACCTATGGTGCACACATGTCCTGCTGATGCCCTGCGTGGGTCCCCTTCCCGGAGAGAACACACCCATCTCCATCATACAACCAGCCCCTTTGTTTCTCCCTTTGGCAAGTCAACCTTTGTTCTGGCACTAGTTCCTCAAACACCCAGATTAGGAGCTCGTGGGGAGATGTTTCACCACCGCCTCCTTGAAAGCCTTGACAGCTTCTTGTTGTGCCAGACCCATCAAGCGCAGACTTGGCGTGAAGGGCTTGGGCATCCTCAGGTTCCTCACAGCCTCTTTACACCAAGACACACGGGGTTTAGCAGCCCCTGCCATGCACTGGGAACACCACGGGCTGTCCTGCATGTTGGCAGCATCCCCCCAACACTGGGAATAGGCAGGAATTGCCCATGACCTCAGTTATCATCAGGCAGCAATTACGGCTACTGGGAAATGCCACCTCCTAAGAGGGTTCCTGGCAGGTTGGCGTGTCTGGATTTGGCAATCCCTTGGCTCCCTGGTTTGCTGTTGGAAATGAGTCAGGAGGGATCACTGGTTCTGATTATGGAGAGGTGATGGGGATGGGATGCGCTGGCCACTGGGATGCTGGGGGCACACATCACACCCCCAGCCAAATTCAGCCACTTCAGGGCACGTACAGGAGTGATGAATCCCATTCCCTATTGGGAAATAAGAGCATCATCCCACTGGAGACCTTCACCCAGCACCTTTTGTGTGATCCTGAAAAATGCCTCTTCCATCATCTCTGCAAAGACCCCCCAGACTCTGCAGGAATGTCCCAGCTCCTGGGAATGCTGCTGCAGTGTGCCCAGTCCATGGTGCTGGCTCATTGCAAAGCATGGAATGGTTTGGGTTGAAGGGAGCTTCAAGCTCCTCCAGCTCCAACCCCTGCCACGGGCAGGGGCACCTTCCACTAGAGCAGGTTGCTCCAAGCCCCTGTGTCCAGCCTGGCCTTGAACACTGCCAGGGATGGGGCAGCCACAGCTTCTCCGTTCAACCCATCCAGTTCCCCACCACCCTCACATGGAAGAAATTCTTCGTTATCTCCAACCCAAATCTCCTCTGCTTCAGACTGAACCCATCACCCCTTGTCCTATTGCTCCAGTCCCTGATGAAGGTCCCTCTCCAGCACCCTTGTAGCCCCCTTCAGGCACTGGAAGCTGCTCTGAGCTCTCCAGCAGCTTCTCTTCTCCAGGCTGAACAGCCCCAGTGTTCTCTTCTGGCGTCCCCTTGTTTCGGTGTGTCCCCTCCCTCACTGACATGGGGAGCAACCAGTTCCTGGAGCCAGAAATTGCTGCCTGGGTGTGTTGTGTGGCCTTGCACAATTCCTGAGGTTATCACCCCAAAGGGAATTGGAGGGTGTCACAAATCATAGCTCAGGGAGAGTATAAAAGAGCCTTCCCCTGCACCGCGCCGTCACTGCTCCTGCCTGCTCCTTCCCGTGCAGCGCCGTCCAGAGACATCAGCCCCAGGTGAGTAGGTCCTTGCCAATGGTGGCTCCAGTACCACGCTGCTGGAGGTGCCATTGGGATAAGCCCAATCCCAGCGGGCTCCTGGAGCGAGCTCTGATGGGGTTTGATGTTTTGCTATCTGTCCCTTCCTAGCAAGATGAAAACCGACTTGGAGCTCGCCTTGGAGTGTGCCATCAACATCTACCACCAGTATGCCATAAAGAATCCCATCGATGACTACCTGGATGAGCCTGAGTTCTCGCAGCTGCTGAAGGAGACTGCCAAGCCCTTCCTCCACAACACCATGCCGGTAAGAGCCAAGTGTGGGCCAGGCTTCCAGTCTTCAAGTGGCCTCCTTGGGGCATGGGGGTGGCTGAGAGCTCCCAAAGCTCTTTTCCCCTGGGGTTTTCCTGACTCTGTCCGTGTTTGTCCTGCTGCAGCCCAACGTGTCCGTTGATGAGTACATAAGCAAGCTCTTTGCCAAAGCAGACAGCAACCATGATGGTCGCCTCAAGTTCGTCGAGTTCCTGACCACGCTCAATCTTGTAGTCATTGATGCCCACAATAGGTCCCACAAGAGACACGACCACCATCATGATGCCAGTCATGTCCACGACCATGGCCATGACCATGGCCACGACCACGGCCACGACCATGGCCACGGTCCCAGAAAGTGAAGTGCTTCCCAGGGAGACAGAGCCCATGGGATTGTGCTTTTCCAGCAGCATCATCCCTTCCATTTGCCCCCCAGCACAAACCTGTAACCAAGGCTTCTGCCTATGGCATTGAAATAAAATGTCTTTCTTCAAGCACCAAATGTATCTGTATCATGTGTCTTGGTGTCTCTGGGGAGGATGCAACACACACCCAGCCCTTGGCTGCGAGGGGTTAAATGCAGGTTGAACTGGAGAAGCAATGGGAAAGGGAAGGGAAGGTTGCACAGGGGGACTCTGCTCCCAGGACAACAGCACTGCTGGATCCCAACGGAGCTGTGTAGGGTCCCTGTCCTAAAGCATGTCAAGACTCCAACGTGCTCCCACTGCCTTCTTGAGGCCCAAGAGGGTCCTTGCAACGGGGTGGTTGGCCCCAGCACCCTTTGCCTCAGCAAACAGTGGGGTGCTTAGAACCCAACACACTGGGGATGCTCCTGCACAAGAACATCCTCAGCCTTGGTTCTGCCAGCCCCTCTTTGCACCAGCTTCAGGACATGCCAGGGGTGAAGTCCCCAGGTGACTACCAAGAGCTGGGGGTGCAGCATCGCGGGGTTACAATGCTTCTGTAACCTGCAAAGCAATCAGAGCTTGTCCTGCAAGCCCTGACACAGGAAAGACTGAGGCTGAGGGGCTCTGGTGGTAACTCTGCACCATAAAGTTGGATGTTTCTGTTACCTGGCAATGACTGTGCATTGGGTGGGAAACCCTTGGGAGGCTCCAACATCCCCGACATCAGCTGAAACCAGCAGCCTCTCCCATGTAGAACATAGAATTATAGAACAGTTTGGGTTGGAAAGGACCTTAAGATCATCTAGTTCCAACCCCCCTGACATGAAAAGAAGCACGGGGCTGGTGTGTGGTTGTTTGCGCTTAGTGACACAAGTGATCGCTCTCTGGCTCCACAACTTTGCAGCCCTTGTCCCCCAGAGGCAGATGTTATTTCAGGGCACCCAGGTATCATTCCCATTTTGGGGCTGGGCGTCACCAGCTGCATCCCCCGATGGGTTTTGGGGACCACGTCTTGGAAAGATGGGAATTCGGAGCCCATGGGTCTGTCCACGTGAGGACTCTGCAAGTGCACAGGGCAAAAGCCAAAGGCATGAGGGATTTGCAAAGGGAATGAGGACACAGTTTTGGATTCCTGACAGTCCCTAATGAGTAGAAAGCAGTCAAGTGAGTCAGGGCTCCCAGAATAAACCTCATGCAACAGCTCTTGATACTGGCCCTGAGACACGCAAGAAGCATCCTCAAACAGGAATGGTGACCCTTTTGTTTTGCTGTCCCTACCCTCTTCTTGGCACCTACCGCCTTAGTCTTACATTGTTTTACAGTCTCTTCATTCTTCTAGTACCTGTTCTGCTAATGCAAAATGGGTGGCAGACGTGACCATTGCACAACACTGGCTGGTCAATGCTCTGGCCACTGAAGACCCTAAAGATCTCAGATATTCTTCTTATTCCTCCACCAAGTTGCTGGAGCAAGAGGAAGGGTCTGCTCCAAGTGGTGTGAAACCAGAAAGTAATGACAAATACTCTGGAAAACAACTTTGTGGATGTTGCCTTCGTCTTTGCTAGTGTCCAACCAGTTATTTGTTGTAGAAAACAGAGATGTGATGTTAAAACCAAGCAAGGGGCAAAGTTAACCACGTCTCTCTGAAACAGTTCATCTTTCTCCTACGCAGCACATTGCAAGGCTTGCAAAGCTTTGGCAAGCTGGACTTGTCCTTTATGCTCACATAGAGGGCTCACGCTGGCACGTCCAGTGTTCTCCCCATTCTTTGCCCTGCACAGGAGCAGCTCATCCATGTCTGAGGTGATGGTGAGGTGGAAGGACAACATTTCCACAGCCTGGTGGGTGCAACCAGGAACAAGGTGCAGAGGTATGAGGTGGGGAAGGGTTCACAGGTTCCCACCTTGCAATTTCCAGGTACGGGAAATGCTACCTCAAGCTGATGCTTGCAGCAGGTGTGTCACCACCTCTGATGAAAGAGGACCTCAGACAGATATAAAAGGTCTGCAGAGGCTCTTGGATCACTGTGACGGACCCATCCTTTGCAAGCCCTCCTTGGAGACAAGGGTAAGTAACACTGTGATGGCTCTTGAAGGAAACAGGGTGAGGGGAGGAGTGACTTCGAGTACGGCACATATTCCATGCCTGTTTTATTCCAGGGTGATGGTTTCTTCTTTGCTACAGACAAGTCTAAATGAATGGCATTTCTACGCCACCTTTAGTGGAGGTGTATTTGTCTCCATGGGCAAGGAGAGCACCCTTTGGAGGTGCCACCCAGCAGAGAGCTCTGTGCTCAATGTCTTTGCAGCCTGAAAAGGAGACATGCAGGTTTACAGGGAGAAGAGGAGGAGATGAGGCAGAGGTTGCAATGAAGCAGGTACTCCTGAACCATGCTCCTTGCCTTAAGGTCACCCTTGCTGTCAGTAGCGTGGTGCAGATACATGACTGCAGCCTGATGGGTTTGTCTGGTGCACCTGACAAATGCCTTCAGGTCAGGAAGAACAAGATGGAAATTGGCTGAAGCTAAAATTGGAGGTGGTTTGGGTGATGCTGTAAAATGGTGATACTCCTAAACCCACTTGTTACCAGGCTCCTGGTGCAGCTCCCTTGGGGTGCGGGTCAAGATCACGCCATGGGGTGCCTGGGTTTTGATGCATCTCATGCCTTTGGGGTTTCTTCACACAGTTTCTCGAGAGCTCAACCATGTCTGTGAGCACCCAGCCCATGAACATCCCTCCTGAGACTCAGCAGTTCCCTGGAAACTGCACGTTGGAGAAGGCCCTGAAAACCATTGTGGATGTCTACCACCGCTACAGCATCCGGGAGGGCCAGCTCGACCTCCTCAACTTCAATGACTTCGAGACGTTGCTGACTGAGCAGGCACCGACCTTCCTGGAAGCTTGTGTGAGTGTTCAGGAGCTGGGTTGTGCTCTCCTCAGGAGGTTGGAACGGGATGAGGCTGAGGTTGCCTCCAGGGATGCTCCTTGAGGAATGGGGTGCAGTCCCCACCATGGCTGAGGTCCATACATCCACTTGTCCATGTGCTGCGGGTGCTCATTCCTCCTGATGCTGCAGGGGTATAGAGCTTGGAAATGGCTCTGTGTCCATCTGGGGCTTTATCTAGGGGCTAAAGGCAAGGTAGGGGAGGGTCACAATGATCCTGCAGCTTCCAACCACTTCCCAGGGCATGGAGGAACAAAGCTGGTTTCCACTGGGGAGCGTGCAGCCCAGTAACACATGTCCTGCCCCCCAATTTCAGAACAGGAACCGTGCCGACTACCTGAGGAAGCTCTTCCAAGAGACAGATTTAAACAAGGACAAGGACCTGAGCTTCGAGGAGTTCACCATCGTCTTGGCCAAGGTGACCGATGATGCCCATCGCATCATCCACAAGGATGACCGCTGCACACCAGACAAGGATTGAGTCCCCATGCACGATCCATGAAGAACTCAGAGGGGGTGGCTTGTAGGAGTTGGGCTCTACCTGCTTTCTGTCTACTTGGATCACTCGTGCTTGTGAGCCAATAAAGTATCACTTGAAGTTCAGCTCAGCTCTCCCTTTTTCATCTATCTAATGGCAGGGAGGGTGGGAACCAGTGCAGAGAATGCATGGTCCTGTTGGAGCTAAATGTCTAAACGAGGCACCCAAAAAGCCCATAAAGGAAGAGGCTTCTGACTGAGATGTGAGTGGGCAGGAGCTGTGTTGCTCCATGTCTGGGCCAAGCTGATGGGCTGGGAAGGTGTTAATGGCCAGAAGAGCAGCACAAGGCACTGCCTGAGCTCCACAAGGGTTTTACTTGTCAGCTGCAACATGTAGGAGGTGTACTAAAGGTTCTCCTGGCAGAGAAAGTGTTCTGCAGAGGCTGGGTAGAACAGAGCCAGCCCAGCTTGAGGAAGCACCTTCTGTTTGCTCTCCTCATGCAGCTTTTTCCCCTTGGCCATGCCAAGTGCATTCTCTGGATGCACAATCACTTCTGAGCATTAATACCCATGACAACAGGCGTTCACAACAGGACCCAGCCCTTACGACAAGAACAAGCTCTTAGGAGGAAATGTCAGTGTCTGTACATAGAGCTTCTACTCCATAGGAAATCCCAAGATTTTTGGATTCTTTTCTCCCTAAATCCCAATGAAAACTCACATTTCAGAGTTTTCCCACACAGAAAAGTGACCTGGAGTGCTCTGTCCCAACCCTGCTCCATCGCTTGCTACCCAGCCAAGATGAGATGCCCAATGGGTTCCATCTCACCAAACCCCTGAGGAGCTCCAGCAGGATACAAGTATCTTGTCCCTGGCTGAGCCACCTGGGACATGTCTTCCAGCCCCAACAAAACCCTTTCTGGTCTGATGATGCTCAAAGGTGCTCGGGGGCTCAGAGTGCATCCCTTGACTTCCCCAAGCTAAAACCATGTCTAGCAACCAGAACCAGCCTCAGTGGCTGAGGTTGGAAGGGACCACTGGGAATCACCTAGTCCAACCCCTCAGCTCAAGCAGGCTCACCTAGAGCTCAGTACTGAGGACTGTGCTGAGGCGCTGGCACAGGTTGCCCAAAGAAGAGGGTTCAAGGCCACTTTGGATGGGGCTTGGGCAACATGGTCTAGTGTGAGGTGTCCCTGCCCATGGCAGGGGGTTGGAATTAAATGATCTTAAGGTCCTTTCTAACCCAAACCATTCTATGATTGTGTCCAGACAGCTTTTGAGTATTTCCAGAGGAGGAGACTCCACACCTCCCCGGTGTCACCTTCACCAGAAAGAAGTTCTTCCTCATGTTGTGCTTTAATTTATGTCCTTTTCCTCTCATCCCATCACTTGGCACCACCAAGAAGAGTCTGGCACAATCCTCTTGAGATTCTTGTACACATGGATCAGATCCCTCCTGAGCCTCCTCTTCTCCAGGCCCAGCTCCTGCCCTACCCTGATCCTGGGCTGAACACAGCAAAGCTCATGGAGACCAACCCTGCCGTGCCCTCTTCCCGCATCAACCAGCCGCTTGCTGGTAAATGTCTCTTTTGAAAGAGTTTTGCAACCAACCAGGTCCTCGGGGCACAACCCATCTCAGTCACCTCCAACCAGCTCTTTCCGTGTCTATCCGGCTGCCTGTGCTCATCCTGGTGTCTGCTTCCCACTCCTTCCCTTTCCAGCCAGCAAGTGGGTGCTTGCCCAACCCTGACAGCCTTGGGACCAGCTTCTTGCAGCCACTTTGGCATTGCTCATAGGCAAAAGTACACAGGGAAGCTCCCCCTGCAAGGAGACAGGGCTAGAACATGCTCCTGTGCCCCTTAGCAATGCCCAGGCTCCGTGGTCTCCTTAGGGACTGCATTGTGGTCTTATCCCTGCTGCCTGGTGGGCACATCTGAGGGTCTCACCATCATCTCGCTATGGAACCCCCTGACCCATCCCACCCCTATAACCTGTAGTTGCTCTTCCTCGCCTCCAGGATGCTAAAAATGACTCAAAGGGCCATTTCCTGAAGTTGCTACAAGAATTCTGCAACCCAGCAGATGGGGCCTGTTGTGAAACACCCCAGTCCTTCTCCAGGGCATCAAAACACTCCTGTTGTGAAATGTGCACCCCAACCAGTGAAGGTGGGGTGGTCACAAGGATGCAATCACTCATAGCACTGGGGCTGCATCCCCACAGCAGCTCATGGAGCTCCCAGAGCTTGTCTGTGGCTCTGTTCTCGCCTCCTCTTTGTGTCTGAGGTGAGCACCATGTTTGGCAGGTAAAACACCCGCCGAGGCTGAATCAGCAGCAGAACATTCCAATGTAGAAGCACTGGAAAATCTGGTTTTGCTCCCAATTTAGCTGCTTCGTTGCCATCTGGAGTTAAACCTCAACAAGTGCCTGCGTTGGGTGTCTGCAATGCAGAGAAACAACAGGGAAATAAGGTACAAAGTGAGGACATGGCCCTAAAAGACATAAATAGACCTTTGAGCCACGCCTGGTCTGTGCAGCTCCAAGCAAAGCACCTTTAGCACAGCCTGTTGCTAAGTTGAGGAGCTGAAAGGGAGCTGGGAACCTGCCCTGCATTATTTGCCTTCCAAGAAGCTGCTTGCTGCGGGCAGGGGATGGTCCCCAGCGCCGGGGCATCGCCCTCAGCACCAGCTCCGTGCCCGTGTCATGATGGCAACACTGTCAGTGAAGCGCTGAGATGCATTTGGGTGCCCAGGACCGTGTGGTGCTTGTGTGCCCCACGTCTGCAAGGATGGGGCTGTTATGGGGCCAAGCAGCGCTGTCTCATTGAGATATTGCCTTGAGACCCCCCCTGCAGACCCGTGTCCAGCTCTGGGCAACAACATAAGAAGGATGTGGAGCTGTTGGAGCTAGTCCAGTCCCATCCCTGGCAGTGTTCAAGACCAGGTTGGACACAGGGGCTTGGAACAACCTGCTC